TAATGGCATCTGCCTTAAAGATAAATCTACCCCTTTTATTAACACTAAACTGGCTCTTGTTTTATATTTCGATTGTGGAAGCTAATACACTCTTCCGTCATCAAGCTCCGTAATCTAACCTGGGTTCCCTAAAAATTTTAATACGTTTGACAATGCCCATCTCATTTGAGCTCGTTACAGTGATTCAAGGGTTTCCTGAATTTACTTAAGGATCTTATTTTTGAACCGAAAGCCTCTTATACATTGCTCTCTTCCAAAATCCTTTCATTCTAGGCCACCGAAAGAGATTTCCAATTATATTTGATAATTGTACTCAGCCAATAGTTAATGGACATTGTTTCTTTGTATTACCGATTCATACCTGAAAGTATATCCATTGTAAAAAAAATGTTGGCTGCTAAGACACTAAGCAAACTAACCATTAATTGAGTATCTGTTTTTCCTTGTTGTTCCTCAGTCCTCTCTGCGTTCTTTAGATTCGGGATTCCTAAAGTTCTATACAATATGCCAATAGATATTGTACTCCGTTATCTAATAGAAAAATGTTGCTGACTCTCAAAGTCTGTTAGGCTAAACGTATAAAATGAAGATTAAAATCACGACTGAACTTTACAAATCACCAAAACAGCACCATCTCTTATTATGGGTTCTTATCATTCCGCTCGTTGAAATCATTAAAATTTTCACTGTAATTTTCCACAGATAATTCCAACAACAGATAATCCAATTCTTATACTTTAGAATCTAAAATTATTACCTACGAGCGCGCACATAATGAATCCTTGAGTTTAATAATAAGACTTTATTAAGAATATAAGACACTTTGCCTGGATGCAAATGAACGATCACTATGTTTTTAACAATAATAAAATAGGGACAGGGGTAAATCAATTTATAGTAAAAATACAGGTCGGTTGAAAAGACTCTGCGCTCGAAATGAAAAAATACTGGTTTTGGTACGAAATATATTATTTTATTCAATATAATCTCCTCTAACTTCAATACACTTATTCTAACTATAATGGCTTTCCGGAAGTTCTCTAAAATACCCGTCTACGGCTGTAATAGCTTCTTCATTCTACGAAAAACGCTTTCCACGAAGGAATTGTTTCAGGTTTCTGAAGAGATTGAGGGATTGAGGAAAAACAGAATCTGGGGAACACGGTGGATGCTCAAGCAATTCATACTTAAATTCGTTGAATTTTGTCACTGTTAAAACACCTTTGTGAGCAGGTGCATTGTCTTTTTGAAAAATTATTCTGTTGTGATGAAAACCCGGTCTTTTCTCACGAATTTTTTCATCCAGCTGATCCAAAAGGCTGCAATAATATTCAGAGTTGATTGGTAATCAATCAACAAAATTTTGCATCCCAAAACACGGATGCCATAACCTTCTTTTCTGATCGTTGTGACTTCACCTGCTTGGGAACTCAACAACCAGCTTCAGTCCGCTGTAAACGTTCGTTCAATTTAGGATCATGATGGTAGATCTAAGCCTCATCCATAGTTATGAAACGACGTAAGAAATCGGTTTTATTCTGCTTAAAACGTTCCAACTTCCAAAACAGCTTTTTCATATGTAATTCTCTATGTAAAAAAAAGAACTCATTCATCTGAGATGCCTATGGCATTAGCAATTTAATTGGATCTTGATTAACAATATTACGAACTTGCTCAATGATTTCTGGTGTGGTTGCGGGTTTTGGCCGTCTTTCGCGTAGATCATCTTTAAGCCTAGTACGTCCAGCGGTAGCGTTTCGAAGGTGAGGACTACTTATACACTTCTAATAGTTGTTCATAAATTACCTTTGATTTAATACCTTTCAAAACAGAGAATCTTATCACTACGCGTTATTAAATTTTTTTTCATATTAAAAAAACACTCTGACATTTCAACTTCCAATGGTTTGTAAACAAAGAATTAATTGACAGAATGACTTGTTACTTTGCACGTGTTCTCACGACAGATGTACCAACTTGAGAAAAAAAATGCTGAGCTAGTAGTGCTATTTCTTGGTGAGAGCAAAAGCTTTTCAACCAACCAGTATAGAAAAGTAATTACGTAATATTATACCCTGAACAAGGTACATTAAATTTGTCTATTCAGAAAAATTTTGTATATGTGAATATATGCCTTAAAAATCCACTCGCATTTAAAATTCTTTATTTTGATACTAGTTATCATTTAGAAACTATACTCATGTGTATTTCATGGAAATTATGTACTTTTAACCGCCTAAATAAAGTTCTGTTAAACTGACTTCTGAAACTTAAGTAGACTTCATAAGATTATTTTTTCCGCAAGTGTAAATACAAGCTATTGTAATAGTGTTATGTATGTATATGCCTGTATGCTAGTAAGTGTATTTGTATGTATATGTCGACTTTGTATACGTAACTAGCTCATTACCCCGTTAGAAGGTAGAAAGCAATCACCTTGATGACGGCTTTTGTATTATACGGTATGTGTGTTTATGGGTACCTCTGGTTGATGCCCACTCCTTTCGTTGTTATTCGCTGCCTGAAGTGGATGCCAGTTGCCAAATTAGCAAACTGAAACAGTTAGCAATAAGCAGTCACTTAAGTACTTAAATCATTTTCGATGATTGAGTCGATGCATAAGCAGCTGGAGCTAGAGCATCGACTGCTGCCGCCAATTAGAGAATGGCATACCTTACCTGATATGTAATTACCGAAAATATTTGATAAAGTTATCGAAACGAGTGCGGGAGCGTTGAAGTGGAAAAATTTGGCAGCACTGAGTTGTATACATATGATGTGTTGGTACTTCAAAGTGTTACGCCTAGTGGCCGCCCGCAATAGTGGGTGAAGTAATTATGTAACCTAACTATAAATGGCTCCAAAGTAAAGGCTGAGCACTTTGGAGGTGGGTGAGCTGCATTAGAAATATTCATAACCTCAATTTGTAGTAATTTTAGGCTCCACTACTATGCCGTTGCTTACGAAAATACAATACAGCTATATTTAATATTAAAAGTACAATTTAAATGCATGCTATGCGAGATAGATTTACAATTGCTAAGCTGCTAAGCTCGATTCTCACACGAATATCAGCAGAAAATAATCGCAAAAATCGCGTGTGCCATAAAACCATAAAACAAAGCGAAGGGGCTATGAAAAAACAAAAAAATATTAATAACAACAAAAAGTAAACATTTCACTTAAATCCTTAAAACTAAAATATGCCACAGCTGGCTGGTAGCAGATAAACACCGATGGTACCAGCTAAACTTTTGCCTCCCTATATATGTATACACGTATATATGTCTCTATGTATGCAGTCCTATGGCGCAATGACGCAAGGACAGCGGGATTAACAACAAACGCAATAGTTGTCGGTGAATGCATGAGTGACTCCATAAGCGGTGCTGCTTCGTTTCACTTTTGTTCATTTCCGCTGGCCTGCTTTTAGGCGCACCAAATAATAATCGTTAGTTTTTGACGTTGGCGGGTCTATAGCTTTGAAGGCTGACAATGACGGCACATAACTGTCTATATATGCTCTGTTGTATAAATTGTAGATATATATTCTGAGTTGTAGTAGAAAATATTTTTAGCCCAACAATAAAAGGCAATTAGAAATAAAAGATTTTTCAGTACAGAAGTAAGCCGATAAGTTAATGAACTTTTGTGTCAAAGTTATTTTTAACTTAAAGTGTCTTAATTTGTTTACTTGTTACAAGTTGTGTTACAAGTTTTTATCAGTGATGTGTATTTTATAATTCATTTTACACTCGTAGATCAGCTGAATAAACCGTATTGTCGAACCTTATTATTCATTCAGTAGTATAGTTTCTTAACTACAATGCAATTAATCTGGGAGGGATTTTCTATGGTTCAGGTATTCTTTCTCATGCGTTGTAAGTACCATATCTGCTAAGAGACTAGAAGTCCTAGTGCAAGTTGAGTTCATTGTCTCTCAAATAAAATATGAGAATATGCAAACAATATTCCGCCTTTTAAGCTCAGCAAGTTGAGCAGGCACAGCACAGTAGAGATTGTGGGCATTACTGTAGTTCTCCAGAATGCGTCCTAGTTAACCTGGAAGTCCATCAAATGTGAGAGAATTCCCAAAGTCTAAGATTCTTATAATAAATGATCCGATTTTTAATACCTCTGCCTAAAAATTCCTTTGGTATTTTAAGTTATATTTCACTTTAGAACAACGCTGGATTGTATCTTCCAAAAATCTTGCTGGAAGAATGCTACAAAAATGAAATAGTCGGACGGACAGGTTCTGAATGCTTACGAAGATGAGAGAACTCCGAAAGTCTTCTCTTTGACATGGTGATCCGTTTTTTAATACCTCTACTGAAAAATTCTTTTGAAATTTGAGGTTATATTTCACTTAAGAACAACACAGGACTGTAACTTCTTAAAATCTTGCGAGAAGAACTACTTCAGGTTCATATTATTCAAACCTGCTGACCAATAACAGGTTGTAATTTTACAACATTTTTTTTACCCTTTTAGAAATTAGATCTCGAATAGATATCAACCAGTTCGAGTTCCAACTATATATTCATTAAGTGGAAGTTAGAGAAAATCCCAACTCTTGTGGATAGCATCTTGTCTTTTCAAGTCTTGACAAAAGCTTAATCAAATTATAGTCAAAACCTTAAGAACACGGAGGAGTTGACTATCCATAGGCAAATTCACTACTCAGAGAAAATCTAGGATCCAATAATAAATATATGTTATGAGAATATGCCTTTAATGGGTGTGGGATTTTCATAAGTTGATTTTATAAGTAGGGTTATTATCGGTGTAAGTACAATTTTTTTTAAACACGTTTCTATAATTCAGTCTGCATTTTTGACAATTAATTGATTCAAATATTTCATTTTATTTAAATATCTTCAATTTTACCTAAAACACCACATTTTTCACTTGCATCTATTAAAAAAAATTCAATTATTTTATATGTACTCATCATGAGTCCCCAATTTTAATCAGTTGCATTATTTTCTTACTTGCAGAGCGAAAGTGCTGGAGTGCTCCGCTAAGGAGGATCAAAACGTGACTGACCTCTTCAAAACGTTGCTGTCACTATCGCGATTTCTGCCCGTCGGAAGCAATAATGACGGCACAAGTGGACTGAAGCGACGTTCTTCGGCATATGTTAGCGCATCGTCAAGTAGAAGTAAGTACACACATAGCCAAATTTACACTGCACAAACAAAATGGGTGTGTTTAGAGAAGACAGTCGAACACCACGAGTAGAGATAGTAGTGGTAAGAAGAAGGCTGCAAAAGACACCAGATGCAAATTAAGCGAAAATTAGTAATTGCAAGTGGCACGCATTCGCTGCTTACTCGTCGACCTAGACAGCCTCAATGGCCTCGTTGGGAAATTGTAAGCGAGTTCGCCGGACCACTAACCACTAGCGACCACTTAATTGCAGCCGTGTGCGTTCGTTCTTTAAGTAAATTTTTCTTCCTCTCACACCCAGCGTGTCATCTTAGAACGTGTACTCTCTGTGTAGCAATATGTCGGCGATTTTGCGTCTTCTTGTGTCTTCTGCCGTGTCTTCCAGTTACTGATTATATTTCGCTTTTGCTTCTTCGGCGTTGCTATAACATTCATACCGCAATGCGCATGCAGTGAAGTTTATGAAATTGCAAATTAAATTAAATTCTCACCACTCTCTTACTCAACAATTTATTTTTAGTTTATCCCAACGAAGACAGCTAACTCAATTGAATTTATAAATAAATAAATTAAGATATGAAATTTTCACAATCACTTATACTAATTGTCTTCAACATCACTCAATATCGAATTGAGTATATCAATTACCTAAACTTTCCCCACGATCGTTTTAAATTTGACTCATCTCATTACTGGTAATGCTTTGTAATGTCTTTGAAATAGCTTTTCACGAGAATTGATAAGCTACTAAGTTTCTTGGTATTGAACCACATTATTTGCTGACTTTGAATACCAGGGGAAGAGTTTCAGTTAGATAAATGCTAGCTCTGATAATTTCTGTCGTTTTAAAATATTAAGGTGTACCAAGATTAGAGGTATGTAAGCAGAATGGACCTGGATATGTAAACATAGAAATATAGCATTTATTACTACTAGTTAAATAGCAAATTAACATTTGGACTGTCTTTTTCAACATAGTTTTTTTGCAAATCGTTTAATCGAACTAGTTCGGTAACTCGCCAGTTTTTTCTCTACAGTGACCCTCCAAAACAGCCAAGTATTTACTAACTAATAATATTATAAGATTAATTATTAATTGTATCGGTATTTTTTTCGTAACTAATAGATACAGATTACCCTAAATTCTACAAGTTTCATTTTACAATATATCAATTTGGTTTCAAGGTATTTCACCCCATAACTAATGACTTACAGTTATACCCCTATCCCATTTCATATACTCTCGCAACATGTTGCTACAGTGTATAATAGTTTTGGTCAACTAACGGTTGTTTGTATCCCCTAAAATTAATCAAGATAGAAATATAGTTATATATACCTATATATATATATATATATAAATGATCAGGATAACAAGACGAGTTGAATTTCGAGTGACTGACTGTAAAAATTGAGATATCTGATAAAACTTGCTATATATGCCCTTTTGTAATCAAAGAAAGTCAGTATTGCAGATGGACGTGATCGAACCACTTCCACGCCCACAAAACGCCATTGAACCAAAAACTACAAAGTGTCATAACTACGCACTAAATTAAGATACAAAATTTTAATTTGGTACAAGGGCTTGCTGTAGCTAGGGACGCTTGTGGTTAAAATATGTTAAAAGCGGGCGTGGTCCCGCCCCGTAAATGGTTTAATGTACATATCTTCCAAACTATTTAAGTAACATAAACCAATCTTCCTGCCAAAAAGTCACAAAAAGTACGCAGAAAATGGGTCAACTCAGATAATAACCACACCCGCTCCTAATATAAAGATTTTGTGGAAAACTACTAACAGTGCGATAACTTACTGAATAAATGCGCCACAAGCTTTAAATTTCACAACCAAGGTGGTATGGAACAGCTTCATAGGAGTTGCTCTCAAACAATTTCATCTTACACTCACAAATCTTCAAAATCGGACTATAATTTTTGAAAGACCCAGACAACAAATATTTGAACTCCAGTGCATATAGCCGATTTATTGCCACACATATTGGTCAATCTGTGAGGTTTACTAGACCGGGGAAGAATATTTTTATAGTGATATCCTTGCAAGTTGCGAGAATATAAAATGTTCGGTTAGACCCGAATTTAGCCCTTCTTTACTTGTTTATATAAAATTTGTTTCAGATAAAACCAAATTTCCGAATTTTGTCTCCATATCATCATTAACATGTGTAAGCAAAAAAAATGTTATGTAATTTTTTGTTAAAAGATCCTTTAAATTACTTCATTCTATTATCAGGTAGTTTGGTGCCCATCGAGCCCTGAAGCGTCGAAATTCCACTAGGATATAATTATTTGTCCAAAACAGGCAACGAGTTTTTTATTTAGATTTTCTTCCAATGTAAGCATAGTATTTTTGTATACAGTATGTTTTCAGTCAAAATAAAGGGCGCATCTTCTCTTATTTCGTTATGTAAACATTAACTTTGGAAAAAAATATACATATTCATATTTGAAATGTTTTTCTTGGACTTGCCACAACACACTTTTTTTCCTCTCCTCTTCAGCTCATTTTGTATAATTTTACATAAAATATAATGTTTTTCTTGAGCTCCACAATACTTCGATATTTGCTGGCTTATGTTTTGCTTTTCAAACTATCGTGAGTAAACATTTCTGGCAGTGTCAAATTTAGAGATGTAGATAGAGAGTGAGAAGATCTATATAGAAGAGGTAACATCTACTTGTAGGATTTTTTTTTATTTGAGAAATTTAATAGTTTGAATCGCTGTATGATATGTATGACATGACATAGTGCCCGTCCTTGTTGAAACCAATAACGTTCAAGGTCTTTTTTATGCATTATTTGCGTTTCGTCCGTAATTTTCAATACGTGCTTCACCCACTTTGCTCAGAACCTTCGAATATTCAAATATTTTATTATTACATTATAAATAATATGTTAAAAACGATCCAGTGTAATCGATTAAAATTAGTATGAGTGGTAGAATACTGAATACTGAACTGACAGTTTTTCAACCCTTTGAACTGGATGCGACTGAACGAATTTGGATGTAATGGAGACACAGAGAATAAAGCGACGGTGGCTTACAGTTCTCAAAAAGTATAACAAATAACTCAAATATTCGCAATATATAGTATAAGTACTCAAGCAAAAGGTTGTTAAGGGCCTAGAAATTAAAAAAAATACCAATCTTTTGTTACCAAGGCTTTACTACTTTTCTCAGACTGAGTCATCATATTCACATCAATTACCATATATCCGCTTTTTACATGCAATCTGGGAACTTATTTTCTTTAGCATAAGTATGTACAAAAACTGATTCCCAGCGATTAAGTCCATTTTCATAAGACCAACGCATTTTCGCCCTTCACTATATTGCGTCTGAGGAAACACAAAATATTACAAGCATTTACACGAAGTTTTACCTTTATTCATATGCACAATTCGCAGCGCTTAACCAGGCACCAGCAAGTACAATCATTTACACCATGCTTGGTAATAGATTCACCGCTGTCACAGCGCTACAACCTGCTCCGTAGCCTTCGTTCCGGCATGGTGGTAGCCTGTGTAATTGTCACAGCGTCTGCAGAGTTGCCCCACAAATTCCACAGCAGCAAACACAACACCAAAAGCAGTTATTACACTGAGGTTTACGATATAGGTGAGTGCCGCAGCAACTTGTACAAAGGTTGCCATAGGAGCTGACCAAGAGTGCTGTCATGGTCATGGTTTAGCCCTTCCCCACCTTTCGCACTACGCTACATTCTGAGGTTCCATATTTCGCCGCTTTGCTTCTTTATCTGCTACTCGTGTACCTGCAATTTGTTGTTGTTTTTATTTGCGTTTATTGCTACAATTGCAACTTGCCATTCATTAATTTGCCGTTTTGCTCCGTGTGCACCCTTATTTGCAGCATGCACGTACATTTGTTTGCCGATGTTTTTGTGTAGCCGAGTCTTTTACTTGACATCAGTAAACGCTCACGCAATCTGAACTATATATAACAACATGCAAATATATATACTCACACGAGCGCAATCGCATATCTATATATTTATGTACAAGGGTGGTTTGATAAATCTGAATTTTAAGGCAGCTCTGCTCTTCCCAACTAGAAGTAGTCTACTGTCAATTGTTAAACAAGTTTTTGCCCAATAAATTTTTACACCTTGAACAGGGTACATGCTCGTAACACCCAAAAGGTAGAATACCCTGTGAAATATAATATGTATGTATGTAAATGTAAAGCATAATGAGCTAAGTCGATGTAGCCATGTCCGCTTGAATATATACGAGAGCTTTCGAGATATCGAACTGAAATTTTTCACTCGTTCTTTTCTCACTAAGAAACTGCTCATTTGTCGGAACGGCCGATATCGAACCAGTGTAGCATGTAGCTACCATACAAAATACACAATCGGAATGAAGTGTTTGCATAGAAAACTTTTTCATTTGATATCTACGAAAAAATTGTTCAGATCTTGTCACTATTGCATATAGCTGCCATACAAACTCAACGATCAAAATCAAGTTATTCTATGGAATTTCTTTTTTTTTTTTTTAAAGGGGAAATTTTGTTATTTACTTAATCAAAGTTACAAGTTCAAGCTTGGTAGCAGAATTTTTGAACACAGGTTTTAAGGAACTCATTGTTAAATCTTGTGAAAAACTCTAAGAAAGAAACTCACTTATCTTCACCTTAGTCTGTAACCAAATGACAGTCTCCAATTTGCTTGATATTAAAGCCAAAAAGTTTGGTAACTTATTCCCTATATTACCTTACATTTTTCAAGCAATATTCTCTCTACTTTATATTTGTTTATATATCACTGTCTTCTCAAGCTGCCATTGTATATACACATTTAAATATGCCATTATTCAGCATTAAATAAGGTATCAGTGGGTGGCTCCACCGCAATTCGGTTGCTGAATGTTGCTTTTAATTTCTTGCTAGCAGTAATTTGTTGCAGAAAATTGCTTGCCACAAAGTGCGACATACGACATGTTACAAAG